TTATTACAGGCTTGTAAAAATATTAAACAAGACCGGGTGGACTTAAGTTGAGTTAAAGGAATATCAATACCATTTTATTCAAAACAATCGAACCATGTGTGAAAAGCTCAATAAATTTAATTAAAAATTATAACAGTGTACAATGGAAGAATGAAGGATAAGAAGAAAGAGGGGGCCGTCAGACCGTTACCCCAAGCTAAAGAAAGAGATTAAGATATACTATTACCAGAAATAATTTCCAAGGCGACGATCGGTTCTTGTTCGATCACCATAGTTAAGCCGTGTTGGGCGTGGTTAACACTTGGATGCGTAACCTTATCAATACAATATCAAAGATATTAGTAGGTAAATTCGTATCTTTTTATACTGCTACAAGTGACGATTTTACTCATATAAAATCATTCGAAATAATAAAATATATTTTGCTTCAAGGAGATTACCTTAAATATCGTAGGAAAATTATGATTCCGAATTCATTATTACAAGAATTAGAATGGTTGCAGAAAAATGTTGGATTAGGTCAAGTTATAAAACCCAATCTGTTCTCGAGAGAGGTATTTTCAGACGTTTCACAGACTGGTTGGTATCCCTTTTGTATGTTTAAAATACCACAAACTGCAAATTAACTTTTTAAAAATCAAGGCATTATTTTATGCTTTAAAATCTCTTGCATATTACGAAGGTTGATAACCAAACAGCCATGTTTTGTATAAATCGATGTGGAATCATAAAGTTAATTTTTGCCATATCTCGTCGACAGCAAACACAAATGCAGAGAGGGAATCAAGATCAATTACCAAAGATATAATTTAAACGTGTGTTTAACAATATTGAAAAAAGGTTTAGTTATGCGGAAACAGATCTGTTTGCCACAAAACTAAATTAGAAAGTGTTCAAGATTTATTTCATGGTTTTCAGTCGCAGAATCTGAATGCATTTATCTTAGATTGGCTAATGGTCAGGATATTGTGCCTTTCCTGTCTTTTTACTATTATGTTTGCTTACCTCTTCTTTTAAGAAGAGCCATTCACGCCACAACAAGATTTCCCTGGTGCCAAGGAAATTGTTCGAATCCTTCCTGATGATAAAATACATTATAAAGGGTACAATAAATTGAATATATTTTAAGAACGTATTCGTTCTAAAATTGGCTAATTGAACACTCAGTGATATCTAAATTGCATTAATTAGACAGTCGCATTAGTCTTGGTAGAGGCGCGTAATTTTAACGTCTCTTAACACTAGGTACCCTAAATCAATATGATGATTAAACCAAAAGGATAGAAATTAAAACTCTGATAGAATAAAGATGAGACATATTATTAGAAACTTAATTGTTTCGTAATAGGGAGCAACATCTCATACTGACTAGTGTACGCTACGCATTAACAATTGCTGTATTTAGGGTAGGTGTAAGTATTGAATAGATAAGAAATATCGGAGGTTAGATACCTTCTATAACATTTTTTACATTTTACAACTATAAAAGAACGTAATGACACATTTGGTAACACCATTATTGATTTGGAAATTAAATCAATTATTTGACCTATTCTTAAATTGTGATCATACAATAATTTTGTTGTTCTTATTCAGTTTTTAGCTAGTTAGTAGTTATAGAATTAGCTATAAATGTAAATATTCGTTTAATTAATTACGTTTATAATGTTTACATAAACAATTATTCAGAAAATCACCTTTTCTTACTCTGAACATCTACAATGTAATTATATCAAGGAAGAGCGAAGGAAAATTAAAAAATTAATCGACTTACCTTAAGGAAGATTAATTGTAATTTTCCGAGCTTGTCTGTAGATATAATTATTTCCCATCCCACCCTAATATATGTGGATACATATTTATTTCCCAGATTTAAGGTGATTTTCGTAACACGCACTTCAACGGAATGATATGCAGGTTTGGTATACGATAGAAGCGGTGAATATGGGACATTTTGTTTAGTCTAGAAAAAATACGTGCTGATGAGTAGGTTTCAAGGAAACTACAATGTAATTATATCTACGGACAAGCTCGGAAAATTACAATTAATCTTCCTTAAGGTAAGTCGATTAATTTTTTAATTTTCATTATTATGTTTAATTTTTTGTCTTTTAACATGAATTGTTATTTTTAAATAAATAAAGATACATTTTTAACTTTAATAGGTTGGTGATACATAGTAGAGGCCACGTGGCTCATCGAAAAGAAGACGTAGAGGGCGTATCTGCATAGCATTAAAAATTGACTACTTCATTAAATCGTCAGTAGATGGCGCTCGAGATTGCATCCAACAATTTTTACTGTTGCATTATCCTACTATATTATCTTCATACAACGGTATAGGTACCTACTAGCATTACATACTAACCTGATTTTGATACAAGTGTAATATGGAAACATTTAGGTCAATGTTATTTTATAGCATTATACAAGGTGGCGCGAAATAAAGTTCCCCATTTTTTATATAAAAGTAAGAATAATTACAAAACAGTCATATCATAAATGAAAAATATTTATTTAAACTCTAAAACTTTGTTTTGTTACTAAAAACAATATCGACCAAATGGCCACCCCCATCATTAATGCAATAATGAGCTCTTTTTAAAGCATTTTTCATAACTTTCTCCAACATTTCTTTCAGGATGTTGTCTTTTAATGCTTCTAGTGTTCGAGGATTATTTACAAATACCCTATCTTTGAGATAACCCCATAACCAAAAGTCTGGAACAGTTAAATCGGGACACCTTGGCGGATATGCAATATCGGCGTCCAAGAAAAATTCTGTTCAAAATGGCTATTGTCTCACGGGCCGTGTGTGTTGTGACACCATCTTGTTGATACCAAATATCTTCCTGATTAAGCTCGTCCATTTCCGGAATTAAAAAATGCAACAGCATGCTTCTGTAGCCATCTCCATTTACTGTAGTGGTTCTTCCCCGATCAACCTAAAAAAAATGAGGCCCCAAAATTTTTCTACCACTAACACCACACCACACGATCACTTTTGACTCATGTAACGGTTGTTGGTGAATAATTTGTGGATTCTCACTACCCCAAAAGCGATGGTTCTGCTTATTCACAGCTCCATTCAAACAAAAATGAGCTTCGTCGCTCATTATGATTTTGTTCCGAAAATCCTCAATTTCGTTTTGAAGGTTTACGATAGCATTACAATATTGACGTCGTTTTTCAAAGTCTAAAGGCAGAATTTTATGGGTTACCTGTATTTTGTAGGGGAACAAGTGCAAATCTTTCACCAAAATTCGTTGCAATGAACGTCGGGTAATGTTTAATTGTGAAGATCGTTTTCCGTCACATCTTTACGTACGCGGTCTATATTATCCTATATTATCCCTTGAACGAGGTCTGCCAATATGCGGTTTATCAGATGTAAACCCAGTTTGTTGAAAATTTGTCGCTAATCGCCGACATGTCTTTGCAGTTGGAACACTGCGTCTTCCATATTTTCTACGGTATTCTCGTTGAGCTAGGATAATCGACGAATTATTTTGATGAAAAAATTTCACGATTTCGGCACGTTCTCAAGGCGTATATCGATTCATAATGAATTTCCCAAGTATCTACTTTACAACTGACAGAAAAACTCGAACAGATGTCAACTACAAACGAAACCATGACAACATTCCATAGGGTACTTGATTTTGCGCCACCTTGTAGTACTAATAAAATTAGCTCTCATAATATGAGACGTAACACGTTTTTCCTTTAAGACTAATAATGTTGCATTCCCCAAAAAAATTACTTTTTTTATGTGTCACATGATGTAGATTGACATTAAAAGGCCTTTGAAGGTGTAGAAAGCCTATTTTAGTTCGTTTATTTTAATATTATTCTTACGCTCCTCGACGTTTACTTGTTTCCAATGCTGTACTACGAAGTGCTAGCGGGAGTGTACTTTGTCTCGTGATCGGTGCGGTAAGTGAGGAGTGCGGGGTGAAACGACGAGACGGTGGTATGAGCTGGAACGAGGAACCACACGACGGGCGGTCAGTCGACTTGGGGACAGAGAGAGGAGAGCACTGTCTTGCTTAACCCTTGTTGGCGACGTAATTTTAATAATGTTATGGTTATAATTTGTATTTTGTGTTCCACAGTAAAGTGTATTTTTTTGAGTTGACGAATATTTTCCTTCTTTCACCCAACGACGAGATAGAGTTTTACAAAGGGAAGATAGCCCGTATATTGTGGGAAACTACTGGCAAAGTGCAGGTCTTTCACTACTGATTATTAGTAAAGTTACATGCCACATGCAAGCCCATTATTAAAGGAAGTTAACATTAATATTATGGAAAATTGCCGGCCATTTGATGGCCTTTCACTTATTGCTGGTAAATATTTTACTGCCTCAACAAGACACGCTTTGGAAAATTTGCAGTTTTTCGAATTTGAAAATGTAAGAATTCTCGAAAATGAACCTAATTATAATAAAAGAACAGTCCTTGAGACGATAAATATTAAGAAGAATAATACATCTGTAACTAATAAAGCAGAAATAAAAGATGTGTCAAACGTTTATTTTAATTTAAGAAACTAATTCTAAGCTATTTAATTTTTACTAATTTTTAATTCTGCCTCTTCTTTTTGATATGCTCCCAGGTATAGTGCCCTTGGATTCTGGAGGGCTACACATTCAGTCAGAATGTAAATGGAGGTTTCGACCTCACATAATCTACAGTCACTATCTTCTAAAACTATCAGTTTTTTTTGCACAGCAAATATTTATATTTCAAATACACCTACACAATTTTAAAACAAAAATCGTCTGTAAAAAATGTAAATTGTTTGTTATATCTCCCGATGGTTTTTAAAAATTATATTTGTGATTGCATCAGGTGAGGGAAAAATTGGCCTTACGTAACATATGTTTTTTTAAAACTTTTAGTAACCGATATAACCAAAAAACTTTTATTTTTGTAAAATTCTACTACGCTTAGGAAGTTATCCTCTTTCTAAGAATATTTATTTATTAAGTTACTTACCACCTTGTTTATTATTGACAATTACCCATTCTGTTTCAGTATTAAAAACATTATTAATATAAGTTGAGGAAGAAGTCAGCCAAGCCTTAGGTGCGGTATCAAATTTTTTTTTGTCTGATGAAGCTGTATAACTAATAGGAATCATCCATGTTGATTCCGATGATGGGTTGATTTTATCATATAAGAAACGGTTCTAAAAGTAAAATATGTATAAACTCGAAACAATTTAAAATTTTAAATAATTTTACGTACTTGTTTCACTGAAATACCAATTGATTTTTGAGTAACTGTTACAACAGGATAACCTGGCTCATTAAGCCAGTTTTGCATCACTTTAGTTAAGGAAGTGTCCTTAGGTAAATTTGCCTTGGTTGCTTGTTCTTCCATAGCACTTAATAGATCCGAAGGTACGGCGTTAGAGAATTGTCTAAATCAAACAAGATTTTTATTTGGACATAAACATATCAGTAGCGGATAAAGCGGCAGTCGCTATAATATATCGGTAATACAGTGTTTTCCTTTGGGGACGCACAGAATACCGACTGTAATATAGAAATGTTTATTGAAAATTTGAGATACTCAAAAATTTGCATCACATTTTCACATAATTGCGGTTCTATATCACCAATAATGGCTTATAAAATAGGAATCGTTTGTGGATTGTTTCTGTTGACCTGTTTTTTATATAGACCCAAACGAAGAAGTCCGACGGTTTTAAATCATATGATTTTGGTGGCCAATTAACCTAGCTGTTTCTGGAGATTACATGCCCAGAAAATTATTCTCTCAGTTAATCCATTTTAATAAAAAAATTAAATTATTTGGATAAGTTGATGTTATAAATTCAAAACTATAGTAAATTCCAATATTATTTTAAATGTTCCTAATGAAAAACCCTGTATATTTGAAACTATTTTAAATGCGTGTAACTCAAAAAGTATCATCAATGTTCGGTTTTCATTAATCATCTTTAAAAATATTTTTTTGCTCATATCATATTTTTATTACTACAACAAAAATGAGTATACTTTTTTCAGATACTTTGTTATTTAAGATGGAAAATCATGGATATTTTTAAATATTCCGTAAGTCTCTTCTTTTCTCATAAAAAAAATCGGATTTCAAGAAATAAAAATGGACTTTATGGGGTCTATTCTGTAACAATTCCTTTATATTTAACGGCCTTTAAAAATATTTTCTTCTTTACTTCTGTTATTATTTAAACGGATCTTTAAAATACATTAGAGGACTATCTTAAAGAAATCTGTTTAAATAATGACAGAAGTAAATTAACGAATACGAACATATTTTTATAGGCCGCCAATATTTTTAAAGGCCGTTAAATATAAAGGAATTGTTACAGAATAGACCCCAATAAGTGTGTTATATTTTCACTAGAACCCTTTTTGTTGATTCTTCAAATATTTTTTTTAGTATTTCATTCATCGTAAGATATTTTATTCTTAAAGTGTACGGACACCTTTAGCAATCAATCTTTCTGATAAATAGAAAAACACAAGCATTTTTTTGTAAAAATTATTTCGGATTCACTGATTTATTTAATTTATTATTGGAAACTAATTTTTATTGTAGAAATATAAATAATATTATATGTATAAATAACTATTTTGTCACCTTCTCTAGAAGAGCACTTTAGACGTGAAAAGCGACCACACACACACTGATCAGCACTTTAAATAGTCAATGGACTAATTATTTTTTGTATATTTTTATTCGTTTTCCATTAATTTCAAATAAATAGTTACAACTGTTAAAAAAAAGTAGCATATAATAATTTTCAACCGCTATATAATTTCTATACAAAATTCAAAAAACTATTGCATTTTCAGAATATTGAGCTTCCTAAACAACTATAAATATACAGAGACGTAAATATGAAATAAAAAGTTGTGCCTTTAATTCTTTAATTTTATCAATGTTTTTAAAATGCAATGAGGTTTATTTTGTATCCTGCACCAAAGGTACTGATTTCACTAAATGTATGGACATGCTAGTCAACTGTGAAACTAGATATATTATTCTACATTGCTGTCATTCTTAAAATAGAACTCGTAGCTGAATTTAATATGATTAAAAAGGTAAAGGGCCAAAATATTTTTACCTGGGCAGACTTAAGAGGTATCTGTATCTGTAACGTATGGAGGGTGGGTTACCTCACGGCACTTAGGCCTCATTAGGCCCATTGTGCATCCTCCTAAGATGATAGGCACCTCCTAGCCCGTGAGCCAGCTTACAGATTTAATGTACTTGACAACGTAGCCAAGAGGTGCTTCTCTTATATCGGCCGGTGTTAGCCGATACTCGCCAAACACAAATCTTCTAATAAATGAGAGCGTCGAGCAATCGTAAAGGGTATGCTCATGGTCTCATCTTCTTGTTCGCACCCTCTGCAGAGTGCGGATTCTGACAGCCCCATAATATGGAGATGTTTCCGTACTTGGCAATGACCAGTCAGAATGCCTGTGACTAGGCGCAGATTCTGTCTAGCCATAGTCAAGTATTTGTTTGCTGCAGTGTTGTCAGGATAACTTAAGAGCTCCCTGGCAACTCTGCAATTTCTTGTTTCATCCCATCTTTCCTTGAATTTCACAAGAGAATGTTCTTTAATTAGATCTGTCACTCCGATTTTGTCGGGCCAATAGAGGGGCCAGGTCCAAAAAGTATTTGGTTGGCTGCTTTCTTGGCTAGTGAGTCTGCAAGACGGTTACCTTTCGATGTGGCGTGACCTTTGATCCGTTTTGAGGTGACCACATTGTTCAGGGTGAGTAGGGCTTGTCTGCTATCTGTATAGATGAGCATGTTTCTTCCAGTGATATTGTTTCTGGTTATTTATTTTGCTGCTATGAGAATCCCCGTTAGCTCTGTTTGAACAATACTGGCACTATTGCTCAGTATAATCCAGTATAATCAACATCCTGAGCCTTGTTTTGTTTTAGAACCGTCGGTATAGATATGAATAGTACCTGCCACTTATGTCTCTTCTATTTGTTCTATTATAACTTTATATGGCCTATGAAAGATATATTTCGATGAGATGGAGTCCATGTTCGTTTGAAGTAGTGGGGGGCGTATCGAGCGCCTCCTGCCAAAAGCAACGTCTCGCCTCATCAGGTTCTATTCCAACGTGCGGAGGCGTGTCACTGTCGTCAGAGCAACCTCCTTGATGTAAATATCAAGGAGAGTGAGACTAAGAATGACTTCCATGGCTCTGGTCGGTGTTGTTTTCATGGCTCCTGTTATGTTGAGAATTTGTTCTAGTTTACGTATAGCTGTCAATTTTTGGCAAACTAAATAAACCAAATGTATTTAAAATGTTCATTTTACGGAGACTTATGTGATATTCATCGTATTTAAAAGTTATTAAATTTTAGGTCTTTAAAAAGATCCGAAAAGGGTGTCGTAGAAAAAAAATCTATTTTTATGTATCTGAAATTGGGAAATACATGTGTAATTATTGATAAAGGAACCAAATATTTTGTTCAGTGAAAACTGGACATTGATATCTCAAATACTTTTTGAGATACACGCATTTCACATGAGTACAAATATACTTGGCCATAAAAACAATGTATTGTGATTTTACAGCACATCAAAAAAACTCCACCAGAGATAAAGTGGTGATCAACCAAGGAGCTTGCGGCCGAATTAGGAGTGCGCAGAATGTGAAGATTCACTTGAAAATAATGTATGTAATAAGGAGAGTGTGATAACAACAGTGATATTTTGAGTGTAATATTTTGATATGCAATATCGACGGTGATATTTTGATGTGTGATGACGACAGTGATATTTCGATTGGCAATAGCTACGGTAATTATTTTAAGTATTATTATTGATATTTTGACATGCGATAACAGCGGTGATTAGAGAGAGGACTTTCGAATTCAAGGGTATCGGCCCCGAATCCTGCTGGTGAGGAGATTTTTCTAATTCATAGGTTGGATTCTCCACTCGACTATTCTCTGTTGGGTTCTAATTAACAATGCTGCTCAGAAAGTTGCGCTGGGAAACAGTAACAAAATTGTAGGCACGAGGCTAACATTCTTAGTAGTTAATGCTGAAGACACAGAGTAAAAATCAACAAACATTATTTTGAATGTGATAACAACGGTGCTATTTTAACGTGAGATAACGGTGGAACAATTTTGAATGTGATAACAGCGGTGATATTTTTATAACCTAAAACGACTGTGATGTTTTGATATGCGATAACAACGCTGATAATTTTGAGTGTGATAACGATGGTGATGTTTTAATGTGATATAGACAGTGATATTTTGATATGCGATAACAACACTGATAATTTTGATGAACGATTACGACTGTGCTTATTGTGATTGTGACAACACCGGTAATATTTTGATCTTTGATAAGGTCAGTGACAATTTTGAGTATGGTAACGACGGTGATGTATTGATATAAGATATACAGGGTGTTAAAAAAAAGTGTCACAAAATGAAATGGTGAATAGTATGACCCAAAATAAGCAGAAAAGTCTTAATAAATATATGACCGCAAATTAACGGTTTCGGAGATACGGACCATTTTGTGTTTATAACAATTTTTTATTATTATAAAAAAACAATGATATTTATAAACAATCAATAACAACATAGAGTTAAATGAGATGTTCAAATACTGACGTAGCGCTTCCCTCGCATTGCCATTTGCACGATTGTACATAAAATGCATGTCAGCTAATTCAATATTAGTGTAAACAGGCATAACGAAAATTTATAAAATTATTCACCCACAACAAAATAATAACTGCAAATAGTATCTATGAAAAAACATCGGTAGACTCCGATAAGAAAAGCAAGTTTTTGAGAATGAAAAAAGATAATCAAAAAATGATACAAAACACAAAACACTCCGTATCTCTGAAACCATTCATTTGCGGACATATGTTTATTAAGACTTTTCTGCATATTTTGGCCCATACTACCCCCCGTTTTATTTTGTGACACTTTTTTTTTAACACCCTGTATAATTTGCGAATTGAATAATGAATTCCTATAAGCAATACATAATAGCTGAAAATGATTACAAACAAAAAGCAATATGTTAAATACCTAATCGAGGCAGACGAACATTACCCCATTTTCCAAAACCTTTTCCTTACTCACTTATTTTGGAGATATTTAGTAACACCTTTTTTAAAATTCTCACTACCTATAATGTTTTCCATCATTCTTATAATACTAGCTCCTGTAAAATAAAAAGAAAATTATTTGTTTTCATTATTTTTACATTTAAAAACTTTCAATGAAATACCTACTTCGGCCCAAAAGATAAATATTTATGATTAAGTAGAAATGAGGAACACACAAAATTTATAATTATTTATGAAGATCCTGTAGTTAACAAACTTTATATTTTTCTCATTTCTGCTTAATCTACTTCGGACCAATTTGAGATATGGATAATATTTTTAATATAAATATTTATGATTCAAAATAAAATTTAGAACATTTTGTCGCTACTATTCCGAGAAATGTTATAAATAAACATAGAGCAATAATACCAATATTATTTTATTAATTAAGAATTAAGAAAATCATTATTTTAAAGGACACATTAGTGATAATGGATTCATTAATGAACTTGGTCCCTAACAGGGCCGTTGCAACCATACCTCCAGGTTGTGCGGTTCCGTCACGCACGAAGATTTTTTTTATTTTTACCAATGTCTGAAAAAATAGTTAGAAGGATTATGTCTATTTGAGCCGTGTATGCTAGAATTAAGATTAATTACAAGTAGGTAATAATATTTAAATAAATAATTTATTTATTTAAGTTGCTTGGCCTCGTCCTATTACGTATTTTATTCTATTACTAAGCTCCGTGCGCACTCCGTGCGAAAAATAAACTTTCTGGTTTTCCAAAATCTAATAAGCAAACTTAAATGGGAGGTGATTTTGGAAAATACCAATAAAAAATACCAATTTAAAGAACCCATTGCTTCTACTTCAAAGGTGTTTGTAAAAAATTATATTGATAATAATAAAGAACCACCGACATCAAACTGTTTAGTTAAGACAACTATAACTCTTATCGAAGCACCCTAAAGATGCAGGTTTGTGCCTGAAAATATTGAACTTCTGATAAAAAATGGTCCAACCTGTTATAACAATAATTGTTATAACAGGTTGAAATTATTCAAATTGCGTTTTTCCGAAAGACAAGATGGGGCGAAGACTTTCTGAATCATACTACACTGGTATTTCGCCAAATAATAAAATCAAGCGAATTCGGTAGCGAAAAATGCAGTGTTTTGTTTTTGTTGCAGAATATTTAACATTACCACTTCAAGTGCCCGAACATTTAAATATTCACACGAAAAAAACAGTGACAAATAAATTATTTACGATTGCCATAGTTATTTTTTTAACTATTTCAAAAAATAAATCAATTACCATAAATAAAAGTATGATTCTAAACAGGTATTTCTGTAACAAGTAAACAAGTTTCTTAAAATGAGTTTCTTGAATAACCCCTAGTAAAGAGTTAACTAAGACTACGGATAATGTTTAAGGCTCGTTACTGTTCTAAAAAGCAAAATGCGGTTCCAGATTGACCTCAAAACAGCTCGCTGTTTATATCTATTTTCAAAATTCTGATGGGTAGAATTTTTTTCTCGGCATTTATTGCTTTTGTTGTACCTACATCCTACATGTTAAGAAAAATCTAGCAAAATTTAAAACGGTGGGAAAAGAAAGAAAACAAGTCCTTTATATCTCACAAAGAAATTTGTATTTGAATGGCGACCGGTTTTGAAGTTTGTTCACTTCATCATCAGGCACACCTAGTGGGTAAGAGAAAAGGGGGAATTGATGAGTTTTAAATCATTAAAATTAAAAAATGAAGAAATGATGGAATATTGATTTAGTTTCAGCGAAATTAACAAAACTAATATACTAATACTACTAATATTTATTTATTCACACTAACAAAAATTATTAATCAAATTAAGGTATTAAAAAAGCCGAAAATTAGTAAAAGGCGAAAAAAAAAGGGAAAAAAATATGTTAAAGAATATTGAAAAAATATGTGTTGGAACAATCCATCAACACCAAAAATGGAAAAAGATAAAGAAATGACTATATAGTACAATAAAAAACACAAAAAATTCACCATAATCTCTTATCCACTAGGGATAAAACTACTATCTTGAAGGAATATAGGCGAACTGAACATGTATTATTTTTTAAAAAGTATTGGTATTTGTCAGAGGTGAAAACATATTAAAATTAAAACGTCACATGTTAAAATAACTATAATAAAAATATTAATGAGCCTACATTACAAAGTCAAAAAAAATGTCAAAGTTTTTAATGTTCACAAAAGCAAAATGTACTGACAATGAATATTAAAACGGTTTGAAGAATTCAAATTTGAAAAAAAATAATTTTTAATTTATAGAGGTGCTGCCTTCCAGTAGGGAGTGGCAAAACTAATAGTTATTGAATTTCAAAAAATTATGTTTATAATAAGTAACGAAAAATCTCCACTAGGTGGAACTACAAAAAGTTTTTAAAAAAATGGAAATATGACTAAAAACAAAAAAATAAAAAAATTGAAAAAGACGAAAAATTTGACAAAAAAATTTAATAGTTTTAGTTTAAAAAATAATATTTATTTATGTAAATCCAAACAAATTACTAATCTGGGGGGAAATTTTTAATTTTAGGAGTTGGTAACACTGTGACAACAAAATGGAAGATGTAAGAAATTTAAAAAATTTGAAATTTGACAGTACATGGAAAAAATGAAAAAAATAAACCACGTGTAGCAAGATTCTTGGGGAAATTTAGAAAAGACTAATAACGAAAAGGGCAATAATAATCGGCGAAATAAGAAACGAAAAATGAAGATGAAATATAATTGTTGTTGAACAGAAGTTGTTTTCTATTTAAAGCAAAGTAGAGAAAATAGGAGAATGTACAAATTGGATTTCTGCATTTAAGCAACCTCATTATTTCTAGGTTCTCAAAACTATTAAAAGTAGATCTATTAAAGGTGTTGTGTAAGATTTTGAAATCTGTTGAAGAATCAAAGTCATGTCCTGTATCTATAAGATGGTTGCCAAAATGAGAAAAACCAGTATGGTTTTGGTTTAGACATCTAGTGTGCTCTTTCAGTCATGCTTTGAAATTACGAAAAGTCCTACTTACGTAGTAAGAATTGCAAGCCTAATATAATATCGAGTCTTTTGAAGTATTATTCAAATGCTGAAATTTTATTTTAAAACACGTTTGGGCCAGAACGATTTTATTCCGTGAACACTTGCAAAGACGCTTTTCGTAGTCCTATTTAAATGTAGGTGAGCAATCACTATTACTATATGTAGCATTGGTCATATTGTAGAAAACGTGCCGTGTTGCCAGATTAATTACGTTTAATAGCTATCGAGGATCGGAATGCATTTTTAATGGATCATTAGCGTTAATAAGTTTATAAACATTTAACGATCGTTCTTACAACCGGCTGTTGGTGGTTATAAAATCAATTTTTTAAAGACTTGAGTAATTTTCGTCCTATGGCCAACATTTTGAATTTTTATGATATATTTGTAAGTTTTCAAATTTACTAGAAAAAGGAACAACTAAATTGTTGTTTATGACACGAAGAAGTTTTTTAAAATTTTGCAATTATTAAAAATCTTACACTGCCAACACCAACACAAATGTTGGACCATATTATTAAAAATAATTTAATTCATATTTTTCCAAATGCAAGCGTAGCTTTGTAAAGTTTGTTAACAATGCCTGTATCGGTTGCTTCAGCGGAGAGAACTTTCTCAAAGTTAAGGTTGATCAAAAACTATTTAAGATCATCAATGGGCCAACAGCGTCTCGATAATTTGCGATCATATCGATAGAAAGTGATTTGTTAAATAATATAAATATGACTCTTTTGATTTCTGAATATTCCAGAAAGAAAGCGCTTTTATTTAGTGTTTTTATTTAAGAATAGGTAACTTTATTTTTTGGTAATAAAATGTATATTTGTATGCTTCGGTTGTACTATTTTATTAGCGATTACAATGTTGAATGTACATAGTACATATGTAGAATATAAAAATTATATACGAAAATTTAGCAAAAGGCACCACCTCTGATCACATTTTCACGATGGAGCTTAAGCGGGTTGCAATGGCCCTGGTCCCTAAAATCTATTATTTGATTGAAGTTTATTTTAATTTAAGACAACCTAAAGTTTAGGATTCCAGGAATAAAAACGTATAAATATTTATCATTTACCTTTGTTATATGCAATAGTATTAAACTTGGCATTTACTTCATCAGGAGTGGCTGCTATTGCTGTCAAAGCTTTACTAGATGAAGCTGCATCATCAACCAAAACAGGTTGCAATTGATCAACGATCATTTGTTTCTCCAATTGCCAAGGACTTGCTTGGTGCATCTAAAAAAATTAAAAAATTTCTATTATATTGGATTCGATTTTAATTTTTTAATTTCCATACTTGAGTTAGTATAATATATTGAAAATAGGCTGCAAAACCTTCGTTAAGGAAAATATCATTCCACCAGTTACAAGTTACAAGATCACCGAACCATTGATGGGTAAATTCATGGGCTATTACAGAAATTATGCTTTGCTTGTCTAAATCTGAAGATTCTTTTTCGTCATACAATACCAATCTTTCTCTAAAACAGAAATGTAAATTTATAAATCTGAAACTGTACGCCAAAGAGTGACGAATGGCAACTAGCAGCGTGATTATCTGAGTGTTCAATCATGTAATTTTGAAACACTGTCCTACCTGTACGTAACTAATCCCCAATTTTCCATTGCTCCGGCTCCAAAATCTGGAATAGCCACCTGATGCATTTTCAACAAACCAGTCTGATTGTATAGTACACCAGTGTAATCTTCAAAAGCGTTCAAAATTTGTTTTCCCCAGTTAGCAGCCAGTAATCTATTTGCGCTCGATTCTTCTCTAGAGCACACTTGGTGTATTACATTAGTATCGATATTTTCGCCTTTTGTACAAGTGAAATGGGACACAATAAAAGCAATCAGATACGTTGATATTTTGGGAGTTGTTTGGAAAGTGGTTTTTAATTGGTCATCTCTAAAAATAATAATATGAAAAATAATTGAAATACCTATATAAATAATATAAAAACAGTTTTATTAATTTACAAGACAAAATACATAAAATAAATGTCAAACATAATATTTTGACAAAAAAAGAAGAGAACATCCTAAATATTTTTCTCATGCGTAAAACCTAGTAAAACCATGGAGTTAGAAGGTAGGGAGACGATACAAGCATTTTTTTTTTAAACATTCAAAACGGTATCACTGGGCGTGGCTTACGACGACTCTTTATGGCCGATCCGCCAGGTACGGAATATTTTGAATGCAATCCAAACCAACATTTTTCTTTTTTTCTAAGGTAATGTGAGTTATATTTATTAAAATAAATTAAATAAATTAAAACGGACAATTTATGTTATAATAATTAATATTCAGTAATTTCACTCTCATTTGATATAATATATTATCATGGTTTAACATAACATGTTAGACCGTAACTGATCTAACATAAAATGGTCAAACACTTGTTAAATAGGTAGGTAATAATAGAATATTATGACAAAATAATATATAATATAAAAATTATGATTTACCTTACCATTAAACAATATACAATTTTATTGTTGTGATATCTTATGCTATCACTGGTTTTATTTTTAATAAGGATAAACATCCTAATGTTTTTGTTTTTTTTTTTTTTTAAGTTAGTGGCACTGGATATAAATCAACAGACCAGTCAATTGTCAGGTGAACAAATAAAAATATCATATAACAAACTTTATTATTTTACAAATTATATTAAAGTTGCTCTATCTTAATAACTTAAAATAACCTGAGATTAATATGGTTTAAATGTTTTGTTTATTTTTGTTTATTTTTGTTTATTTTTGTTTATTTTTGTTTATTTTTGTTTATTTTTGTTTATTTTTGTTTATTTTTGTTTATTTTTATTGTTTTTTTTATTTTTCTTTTTTTTTTTCTTTTTTTTTTCCTTTTTCTTTTTTGTTTTTTTTTTTTCTATTTTTTCTTTTTCTCTTTTGTTTTTATTTTTTTTTCTTTTCTTAACAATTTTTTCGAGTCAGGTGTACAAATTTTTTATTGGTAGCATCGCTACTTACATGTTTTATTTCTATTTTCTAATTACAGTTTTAATTTGAGTGTTTTGACGAAATTATAGAGTATGTTATATATACTGTCAAATGTGAGTAGATTTTTAAATTTATAGGTAACTGAATTTTGTTGTTAATTAAATTTTGGTATAATAAATTAATTTCTAAATCGTTTAGAATACAATCCAAAAATATATGTTGTAAATCAGCAATCTCATCACAAATACACAAATCATTATCAATTATACCTATTCGCTTCATCTATTAAGGGTATAAAGCATGATTAGTTCTAATTCTGCTAATCGTTTGGATTGGTGGTCTATTTGACAGCTTATCAAACCACGGTTTTACCCTTATATTCGGATGAATAGATTTATAAAAATTACCTGTTTCCTTCTCTACATATTTTGCTTGCCCATTTTGATCCCTTTTATATCTGAAACAAGTATTTAGATCGGATAGGGGTATTTTAAAATTACTTATGTAATTAAGTTTTGTTGCAGTTTTAGCCAAAAAGTCTACTTTTTCATTATTAGGTATTCCCATGTGGGCTTTGACCCAAGATATGTCTATTCGTTTATCCTGATTTCTTGCCTCAAAATTTAGTTTTAATATGTCCAAAATTATATAATTAACTTTTGAATTAAAATTAAAATTTTGAAACTTTTGAACTAAACTTTTGCAGTCTGTGAAAATGACAAAATTTAATTCCTCTTGATTTAGACATAACGAAAAGGCTTCTTTAATTGCTAATATTTCTGCACTATAAACTGACATACAATTTGGCAAACGTTTTAAAATTTGGATTTCTTTATTGGGATAATATAAAGCGTAACCTACTTGATTATTTAATTTAGAACCATCAGTGTAAAGTGTTTCATAATGTTTCCATTTTGTATTTAATTCTTCATAAAAATTTATCTTTATTAGTAAAGGGTTGTTAACGTCGAATTTACTATTAATATAACTATTAACTGGCATAATAAGAGACATATATGGATTGGACCACAGCGGTACGCCATTTGAAACTGGTAGATCATTACTAACATCTGAAGTAGAAATAAACTGTCAACTAATAATGGCAGTTTTTTCTTTTTCCAAAAGGATGAAGTTAAGCATAGAGTAGTTAATCTGCTTAATTTATTGATTACTGTGTAATGTTTTGATCGGGATAACAATACAAATTTATCGCTCAGAAATTTCCTTCTTAGATCCAATGGACTTTCACATGTTTCGACTTCCATAACATTTATAGGAGTGTTTGGTAAGAATCCTACGCAGAGTCTTAGGTATTTATTTTTAATTTGTACAATTTTCTGAAGATGTGAGTTTGCTGCTGTATTATAAAAAATTGAACCATAGTCTATAATTGGACGAACCAGCATTCTATAAAACATTAGACTAACATTTGGGTCAGAGCCCCAATTATGACAAGTAAAAGTTTTTATTATATTTACAGCATTTTGGGTTTTTTTCTGAACATAATTTATAGCAGCTTTAATTAATAGTACTCTATTATGGCTATACAAGGGATGCTGATCAAAACTGTGCAATTTTCAAATATATTTTTATTAATAAACGACTTGTAACACTGAGGAAACTACACATTCTGCAGGCATAAGGTGGGTAATTTAAATTAACAGCTGCTTTTTTATTGTTGACTTTTTCATTTTTTATCGCTGAACAAAAATATTTCTATGTTTTTCTGGTCTGCGCACAAGAAGCATTTTTTAACAGAATATATACAATATAGTCGTCAATATATGTTACAATATATTTTGTGGGGTTTGGTAATTATGACATCATGTTTTTTTTTTCTGGGCTCGTCTGACTATGTGTCTCCGAATAACACTGAAGCCTATTGGCTTATTGTATTTTACCCCATGTTAGTTCATAGCACCCACTCTATCACCTTTGTACCTTGTACAAGTTTGTACAGATCCTAGGGTGAGTGGGTTCTATACGTTGTTGGATCAACCTGGGGTTGTCCAAAAAGAGCCTGTCTTTTGCGATCTAGAGATTCGCATTCGCACAGTATGTGTTTGGCCGTTTCTGGTTTCTTGTGAGATAGTCGGCACATGAGTTCCCCATTGTACATGCCAATTTTGTTCAAGTGTCCCTTTACTGGGGCGTGCTCAGTCATGAACCCTATTATCACTTTCAACTGGTTCCTATTCATTAAGAGTAGTTCTCCAGTTCTTTTGGGACATGGTCTGCCTATGAAGGCTTTTCCATGTGCCTGTTTTTGGGGTGCTTCCCCAATAGTTGATATGTTGTTCCCGAATCCAGTCATTTATAAAACCCTGGACTGTACTTTTTGGTACTCCTGGGTTTGTGTCTGGTTCCGGTGTTTCTTCTGACCCTCTTTTTGCAAGTTCGTCAGCCTTTTCGTTGCCTTCGATCCCTTTGTGACCTGGCACCCAAAATAGTTTTACTCTATTTCGGTCTGCCAGTGTTCTTAGTTCTTCGATGCATTCCCATACCAGCCTCGACGTAACTTTCTGACTCGATATGGCCTTAAGTGCCGCTTGGCTGTCTGACATTATTTAAATATGCTGATTTTCGACAGCGCTTTCATTGTTCGTTTTTGCACATTGCAAAATTGCGTATACCTCGGCCTGAAATACCGAAGAATGTATTCCTATAGCATAGCTATGGTTAGTATCAGGGTTTTTGGAGAATACTCCTGCCCCAGTGCCTTCCGCAGTCTTAGACCCGTCTGTATACCAGGTTTGTTCCTGTCGTTAGGCATTGGGCTCCCTTATGGTGATCTCCGCTCTTTCCTGTATTAAAACCTCAAAGGGAGTATTAAAAGAGTACCTCTTGGTTATGTGGTCTGATCTCATGTCTAGCACGTCTCCTGTCACTAACCTTGAGATACTCATGTGACCTGGCCTAATGTCAAGATTTCCCAGTGTATTCCCTAATCTGTAAGCACCTAATCTTGCCTCCCCTTGTATCACATAGTGAAGAGGTGGGAGTCCTATTAGTGCTTCCATTGCAGCAGTGGGGGTTGTTTTCATTGCCCCCGTTATTCCGAGGCAGGCAAGTCTTTGTACCCTTGCTAAGCCTCGTTATTACTTTCCTTTGCTGTGTCTTTGGCCACCACACCAAAGCTGCGTATGTTATTATGGGTCTCACCACCATGTTATAAAGCCAGTATACCATGTCTGGTTTTAACCCCCATTTTTTTCCAAAGGATCGCCTTGTCATCATTAATGAGGTTTCCGCTCTCCTTGTGGTTCTTTCTAGATGCTGGTTCCAGGTAAGTCTCGAGTCAATCATAACCCCGAGATATTTTACCTCCCCCTTAAGCTGGATGCTTGCACCTCTTAGGTTTAGTTTAGTATCATCTATCACACTGTCGCAACTTTCTGATAAGCCAAGAGCTCTATAGCCTCTTAGAGATTTGTGGACTAAATGAACAACATTTTAAAATTCGAAGTTGTTCTAGAGGAATACAATTTCCACGAAAAATTTCACTTCGACATGTGCCTACTAATATTTTTTGTAAGCTACAGACTTATTTTCAAACATAGGAGAACTCATTTCTCTCAATATTTTCATGAGAAATGTCATACGTCAGTATGAAAACAGTATTTTTTAAGCCAGTGAGAATTCAATTTCTTGGGAGAATTTTAATTATCTCGAAATAAACAAAGAGAAACAGTCAGTGAGTGCTCACTGGCTATAAAAATATTGTTTTTACGATGATGTATGACATTTCTCATGAAAATTGTTAGAGAAATCACTTTCTCTCAAGTTTGAAAATAGCCCCCCAGAAATTGCCGAGCGATGGTGTTATTATTGTGGCCTCAATGTGAGCAAATATAATCAAAGAACAGCTCTAAGTAGTCTTGAGATTTTGGCACATTGATAAAAACTGCAAATGTCAGTTGGTGTTTAAAATTAAAATGCCACC